GGGTCCCGGTGGGCAGCGGCAGGGCCCTGCCCACCCACCTTGGGCCAGAGCTGCAGTTCTGGGCTTGGGCCTCACTGGTCCGCACACTGCGACCAGGAGGCCTTGCCAACTACACAGGCCCACACATTCCTCCACCGCATCTGCTTGGCCGGAACCCAACTATCTCCCATAAATACTTGGCCCAGCCCCGCACTCCGGCCTCAGCGTGTCTTCACATTGAGGGATAGGGCGCCAACCTGCGTGGAAGCCAAGACAAGATCTTATTTAGGAGAATATGAAATCCCCCTGGATCCAGGGGAATTCGGGATGTCTGCACAGACTTGTGGGGCAGCCCAGAAAGGCTTTTAGACATTGTCTAGCCTCGGTGCTACAGATGGGGAAACTGAGGCCCAGAGAGGCGGCCCCAAAGAAGGCTGGGGTGGGACTGGAAGCCAGGCCTGCCGGCTTCCAGCTCTATTGAGCACTGGGGGGACTTTTCCCCTGAGCTTGTGGATTCTGTGCTGACCCAGCTCCCTCCTGAAGCACATCAGTGACCCTGCAGGACAAGCCACCCGCCCTGATGACATTGAACCTGTGTGTCCTGAGGTTCAGCTAGTCTTCCTAAGGAGTAAGTCAGCCCCGCACCCCCACCCCACCCCAGGCCCTTGGCCCTCGGGATGAGCTTCTGGCCAAGGTCGTGGGGACGGAGAAATCTCTGTCGGCTACCCTGGAGAACCTGGTCCTCTAGTCCTGCCAAAGGGCCAGGAGGCAGTGGGTGGGGGAGTCCGTGGGAAAAGGGGTGGAACATTGGAGGAGGCAGTGGGGTGGGGTGCTGTGCAGGAGTGTGGGCCAGCTGCTTTGGGTCCTTGGCTTGCCAACTGTCCCCCAGGGGGAGTCTTAGGGCAGAGGCTCCCTCATGGCATAGGTGCCCTTCATCCCCGAGCCCAGAGGCCCAAGTCACCAGGTCTCTCCACCATCTGTGTTCTTCTTGCCAAGACGTGACTCACCCTCCTTGAACATGTTCCTGGGACCCTCCTCATTTCCATGCCAGCTCCTTGCAGAGTGGCCACTGGTCCCACCCAGGCTACTCTCCAGTGCAGGCTGGGCTGTGGCTGCAGGTTCCTTCCCCACCCCCAACCTCAACTAGAGTGTGAGCTCCTGGGGGGCAGGGCTGCAGCTGCCACCCCAGAGCCGGCACCTGGCAGGCTCCCAGCTGACATGTGGGCATTAAGTCCAGAGCCAGGCTGGGAGGGGGCCGGGGAGAAAGCTCAGCATTGGCAATAGAACCTTCTGTTTAGAATAAAACACTAGAACTCACGGAGAACCCAGACTGGCCGAGTATGAGCGGACGGTGCCAGTCTCTGCAGGCCGGGAGCACAGCAAAGGTCTCTGCTTTTGTCCCCTCCCTCCCCCAAAGGCCCAGGACAGCCCTGGGGAGGAGACGGACGACACCAAACCCACTGCGGATGACCCGCAATGACTGTCTCTGGGTCCCTGTGCTGAGGAATCTGTCTCAGGGCGATAATCAGAGTTGTAGAAGGGGCGCTGTCGAGGGATGCTCGTCACAGGGCTCTTCCCAGGACAAGAAATGGCCCCGACGTCCATGGCCAAGCACAGGTGCCTGCAGAGCCGAGGGAGGATGGCGTGGCGTTCAGCGTGGGTCTCAGGAAATATTTAAAAGAACAAGAAATTGGCTGCAATGTTGCAAGAGAATGAAGCCATGGACTCAGGTGTGTACGCAGGCGGGTCCTGCCTCCGGGTTAAAATTCAGTCAGAGGTTAGAGAGGGAAGGAAGCCCCCGGAGCCTGCCTCTCTCTATCTCTCTCCCTCTGTGTCTCTCCCTGTCTCTCTCTCTCTCTGTCTCTCTGTCCGTCTGTCTGTCTCTCCCTGAGGCAGGGCTTCCTGTACTTGTCCTCATTTGGCAAATGCTCCTGAGATTTTCAGTGACATGGTGATGCCCAGCTGGGCAGGCGAGCTTCATGCCAGCTTCTCCTGGCATCTGCTTTAGGACCCCCGTCCCCTGCCCGGTCAGCAAAGGGAAGGCTCGGGGAGGCCAAGGGTCACGCCTGAAGGGGTGCTGTGGAGTGAGGTCGCACCCGGGCCCCAGGCTGCAGTTTGGTTGGAAACAGAGGGGTGCGCACGCGTTTATACAGCAGTAAAATCCTTTCTGACAAAGCCAGGAAGCCAGCTCTGGAGGGTACAGTGAGGAGGGGCTCCCACACCCTAGC